GCAACGCTGAGTCTAAAGGGCAAACCAGGAACCAGCTTCTAAATCTGATTCCAAATGGATCCACCTGGGCTCACCTCGCTCACTTCCATTGTCTGCTGGGCAGGATGCCTGGCTGCAGTCCACCAGGTGAAGAGCCCCATTTCCATGTTATTTCCTGCCCCTGGAAGCCAGGCAGGCACCAACACTGGGCTGCAAAGGATCATCTTAGTCCAAGAAGCCTTTTCTTGCCAGCCAGCCACAATCGTAATGCAATTTGTTTCTAATGTATTTGTTTTTACTCTTTTAAATAAATAAATAAATAAATGTTTGTTTTACAAGTTTAAATTCTGCAATGTACCTTACACCGGAAGACAAATAGCACAGATGTGTATTTTGTTGGGGGAGTTACGCAGACCCATTATTCTCCGGCAGGAAAATGTTTGATGATGGCACGGCAGCCATCCTGGTCATGAAAAAGCAGAGTTCAGCTTTTCAGAAAATAGTTTGTGTGACTTATTCCCAGACACGACGGTGGGCAATGTAGAACTGCAAAGGCACTAGTCCACGTTCCCATGATGCAGCTCATCCTGTAGCCAGCTAGGGCTCCGTCCTTATCACCTGGCCTCCCCTCTCTCCAGAACTTGCTAAATCGTTAACACTGATACTTTCCACTCCATCCATTTCAACAAATTTAGCAACCTAAGAAGATGTGGGCAGTAAGCAATCTCCATTGCTTCAGTCACCATGGAGATTACTTTTCTCCTAACAAATTTAGATGGCCCAAACAGATGACAAATACAGTTGGATTCCAGCCAAACCCTACAAGAGATGAAGCTGGACTGGTGTGAACAATGGTGTGAAAATTCTGAAGTAGTTCAGGGTTTATTTTTGTTTAATTCACAATCCATCATCCATTGTAATGGTACTACAGTCTCTCTGAACTCATTTTCTCACAACTGCCATGCATTCAAAGGTTGCTTTTGCCTTACTGTCCAAATACCAATTTCTAGAAAATCAAGAATAAGTGACTAGTCGAACTATTAACAGAATCATGTCTGATTCAGAATCAAAGTAGAGCAAGGCAAAACAAGTCCTCCTTAAGGCAAAACCAAAACAAGCAGAAGCACCAAATCCCCCACGGCCCTCACATGGTTCAAACACATGGAAAGCCTGCTGGGACCGCAGGCCAATTACACTGAAGCAAACTTGGCTCTCGAGGACAAAGATCGGCATGTGGCCATTGACTGCCTGAAGAGGAATCTGCCAGAGGCCCACCTACCACCTGGCACTGCATGCAGACTTCAGGCCCAGAGAGGTTGCCCACCCCTGCTCTGTGACAACCCACAATCCCTGAATTTGCCCCAAGGCCTCTCAGGCAAGGAGGATACTGGTGACCGGCTTCCAAATCAGGGGTTGGCAGGTTCAGAAATCCTGAACATCAAAATCTGGTTAGTCTCCCCAGAACCTGCACCTGGGGAAAGCCAAAGATAAACTTTTCACTCATTCTGTAAGGCATCACTTCAGAGTTTTGCCCCTTTCATTTTCTTGTGACTTCTCTTAAGGCCTGGGCTTCTGGCAGGTGCCACCCCCAAGCTGCAGAGGACCACAGGGCTGGACAACTTCAATAGGCTCCTCTACTTGTCAACATTTATTTAATCATGAGTGTCCATTCCAACTTTTTGAGGGCCCTTTGGCAAAGCACCCTCCATGGGCCCTGCTCTACCTTCTCAAAACCATAACTATTGCTCCTCATCGGCTTGCCTTCATTACTACAACTTGTTGGACAGACAGGCAGACAGACAGTCAAGAAGCAGGCAGCGGTGCACCTGCTGCTGCTCCTTCTCAACCTTGTCCTCTGTACCTGAGCAAAAAGCAGGCAAACAGACAGACTGGCGTGGTACAGAGGAGAAGCAAATTTGAGCGGGTCTTGCCAGAGGGTCCCTGTTGGACTGTGTGTCCTCTGTAGGCACCCACCAAGCCTACTCTGAGAGTCATTGCTTGTTTCATGAAGATGTAAACTTGCTATTGAGTTTTGCTGTTTGTTGACTCATCAGCTGTTCCCTGGGGCCTCCAAAAATGTGCAATATTCTATCTGACCAGCTCTTTCTACTGGGACTCCATTCTGCTCCTTGTAAGCCCTCCTAGTGACGGCCCTCTGATTCCAGCCAGCCAGCCTTCGTGGGATCTTGCTTGACGCTGAAAAAGGAAGCTGGCCTTTTCCAGGCAAGCATTGGATCACCACACAAACTTGGCTCCACATGGGCCTAGATCAGAGACCTAGCCACGGCAGATAGAACATCTTGTACTTCCAGTTAAATTTAAGTTGAAGACCTTCTAATTCCATCCTTCAGTGTTTAGTGAAGTATAACATGAAACTAAGATTAGTTTGTCAAAGGAATATCTGATCCAAAGCAAGAGCAATGTGAACAATGCAGGGACAGGCAGAGATGGAACATCTTCAGGCCCTTACAGAATTGATGCTCTCAAGCAAAGCAGCCAAATTTCCAGGCAAAGTTGCAATGTATACACAAAAAGAGCTTGTTTACACCAAGAAAGAAGGGAAGCAGAAAACAGCAATATTCCTGAATACTGCAAAGACAGAATTAGTGGATCTTTCTAACATCTGGAGATAAGCCAAATTAAGCTGAGAGGGCAAGCAGGAAAACAGTGGAGCAGAAGTGAGAAGACTGTGGGATGCTACAGAAAAATGGACCATCTGAGAGAGAAAATTTCACATGAGAAAAGGTGTGCTATTTAAAGGTTCAGCATCAAAGGCAGGCATGGCTGAACACCCACTAAGGGTCCATAGAACCACTGACAAGAGATTAACACAACGCAATGCTTATCACAAACTGTGTCTTTGCAAGAAAACCATTTTTTCCACAATAATTGGTGAATCTGCACAGTTATTAAATAAAAAGGAGTATTTATTACATATTATTACTTTGTTTACTTTTGCATTTAAAGCATTCATTTGCTAAAGGTAAACATTTGAAAGACAGCAGTTTTGGCAACCTTATTTGGCATTTCTTCATCATTTACATGCTGGGAGAGCCTCAGAGATGGAAGTGGCTTGGAGCTCATTCAGTCTGTGAGACGGCCTGGCCCAGCACCCTCAAAAACCTGGAGGCCACCCTAGCTAGTTAAATGAACATTAACAACAGCAAGGCTTACCCAGAGCACTGGGCCTGCACAACCATGGCTTGTTTCTGTTATTATTCCTTGTTGCACTTTTAATTTGTACAATAGCCAACATTCTCTGGACTGCAGAATTATAAAGGTCAAGCTGATATGCTCCCGTATGGACACATGAAGCAATACTCTGGCCACTGCATTCTGCACGAGCTGCCATCTCTGGACTGTGCAGCCTCCTGTAGGCATTTTGTTCCCAACTCGTAAGCAATCCTGGAAGTCCAGCAAGTGCTGGAGTTATGGAACTTTTGAGTTTGCCTGAAGAGCTGTGCAGTGGTCAGAATTAAACTTAGGAAATAAACACACAGAAACAGAGTGAGTCAGAAGGGATCTCCTCGGCTATCTAGTCTGACCCTCCAGCTCCAGCTGGCTCCACTCATGACATGCCTGCCATGTGCAGGTCCAGCCTATCCTTGAACATCCTCACTGATGGGGCTTCAACCGCCTCTCCTGGAAGCCTTTTCCATGCCCTAGGGGTCCTAACCATCAGGAAGTACTTCCTGGCATCCACCTTGATTCTTGGTTCCCTGAGCTTTGCTGCATTGAAACACATCCTGCCCTCCTTTGCAGGGGAAAAAAGATCATGACCCACCTCTGTGTGGCCACCCCCTCACATACCTGCATGTCGCTAACAGGTCCCTTCTGAGTCTCCTCCTCTCAAGGCTGAAAAGACCCAGTTCCTTCAGTCTCTCCTCATAAATCTCATAGGAATGCATAGGGAATGTGCAAAATCCTGATCCATTTCTTAATGGACATAGTAGGATGCCACTCAACTCAGGTACACATGAGGTTATAAAGTATTGGAAACTACCATTTCAAAATAAAATTCTATTTCAAGTACCAATGCAGCCTAAAATCAGAATCAGCAACAGCAGGGGGGAGGCCTGGACTAACCCTTCTTTTAGTCTTTCTGAAACAAATCCACACTTTCTCAAACTTCGGAGGAAACAAAACTCATGATCCATAATAAGAATGAAAAGAGAAAAGGAGAGAGAATTGTACGATGAATACAGGTATATTTGATTCTGTATCTGGGAGACAAACTGCTGACCTCCAGATGTTTTGGACTACCACTTCCAGATTTCTGGACCATTGGCCAATGTTGGCTGGGCTGATGGGAGCTGATTTCCAAAACATCTGGAGGAGGGCACAGAATTGGAAAATCCTGTAATAGACAATGGACTCTTTTGCATATGAGGTTGACTTACCGAGAACCTTGGACTCAAAACTCACACATATACATACTTCTTCCTCTGGCACAACTTGTTTGAAAATTTCATTTATTTGTATTTATTTATTTAAAATTATCTTTAATGCTTAATCACAATTTATCACAATGTCTGAACCTGGAGAAATTGTGGTTAATCCTAACAATGCCTGGTCTGTTGAAAGAAGCCGACTTGAAATCACCGATCAAGAAGTTGACTTGATTGAACAAACAACAGATAAGATTCAGATGACATCCAGATAGCTGCATGATAATCTAGATTAGTTGCAGGTAATATAATATGGAAACAGTGGTGCTGAAGGAGCAACCGTGAAAGGAAGTCCATGCACTTGAAGGTCATTGTGGATCATCTTTGCAAGTTTAAAACATGGCTTGGATGAGAATTCCCCAAGTCTAATACTGCCATATATTCTGGTTCCCAACAGCTCCAACCAGTATGGCCATTAAGCAGGTGTGTTGGGAGCTGAGGGCCAAAATATCTGGAGGCCATGGGCTTGGATAAGGCTGGTCGGGGCTTCCATGCCCATAGCCACATCAAGCGTCTAGAACCTGAGGGACCCCTGAAGTAATTGGTAACATCTGCCTGTGATGACGAGCTTACCTTCTGGTTCATTCTTGATAAGCTCCTCCATTTTCCGCTGTTTTAGAGTGTCCACAACATCCGCTAGACTCCCTTTACGTCTTTCGGGAGTCCCAAGGGCTGTGCTGGAGAACGACTCTCCACTTTGACGTCCACCTTCTTCCGTCTTTGAGGGTGAGGTAGATGAGTTGTGCGGGGCAAATGAAGACATCACTTTATTGCCATCGACTTCCTGAAAGGGAAACAGAGCCAGATGAAACACCTCTCTAAAAAAGAAAGAAAGAAAAGCCATCATGTGTACATACACAAAGAAAGAAAGAAAGAAAGAAAGAAAGAAAGAAAGAAAGAAAGAAAGAGCATTCCTTTGTTCTCTCGGGTCCATTCCTGTTTGTTCCTCTGTCAAAACTTTTATTCAAGGGTAGGGGGTGAGAGGAAGAAAGCGGGGGAAGAAATATAGCTTCAAAAACACAGGGAACAAAGCCTTTCCATCAAGGATAAACTAAGATTACAGGCTGAAGTGAGGAAAGATTAGGGTTCAGGAGAGAAACATTACACATATTTTCCCTTCAAATGAGAACTGTTAACGTTCACAGGTTTTCAAATAACTATGGTATGGATTACCTTTAATTGTTTGCTCTTTTACAGCTTTTTATGGGCAATCTTTGAAGACATTTTTGTTTTTCATTTGCTTAAGAACCATGAATTCCTCTACCCACTTTTCCTTTTTTTCTTTTTCACACGCTTAATATTAGGATGACTAGCTCTTCTTGAAATCAAAAGAACAATCAGATCGTGCACCCCCTTGTACTCCACTTCTGCCATTGTTTCCCTGCCCTGTTAAGTAACTACCTTCTTCCTATGGGTAAAATAATCCAGATAATTCAAACTTATCTTCTGCTTCCCTCCCTACCTCCATTTTTTCTCTCCTCTTCTCTTTTATTTTCCTTTCTTTTAAGAGCTTTTTAAAGAGGAGACTTCCAGCACAAAGGTGGGCCTTAATGATGCTTGCAAATGGCATGTCCAATGACACGAGGACACATTTTCCTCCCGCAAAGATAAGATCTGGCTCTCATTAAAGTCACCAAGAATATCCTCACCTCTTTTAATGGATTTGACTCTTAATAGCCACAATCTGGTTTGTCCTGATGAGACGGACCTTCTTCACACCTTCTGATTTATCAAACATATTTCTCTCTTTCCTTTGCCTTGTGCCTCTTTATTTGCTTTGTCTCCCTACACACACACACACACACACACACACACACCCTTTGGAAATGCTCCTTTCATTTCTTGATCTTTGTGTATCTAGAGCTGTCTCTTCAGTTGCTGGTCTTTAATTGTGTTGACAGCCTTCATGTGGATCAGAAGCATTAACTCTTGCCTTCAAAGTGACACCATATGATACATTCCTGTTTTTAGGCTTCTGTGAGAATCCTTGTTGTTTTATCATCCACACAACTTCTGCACAACAGGGCCTTCCTGTTGGTGCAATCCTTTCTGTTCAATTGTAAAGGCTGATTCATGTGCTCCAGCCTCTTTCCTCCACATCCACCAGTATCTCCATATAATAACCTGGCTGAAAATGTTCTTCTCATCTGGCATCTGTTTCCTGAAAATTTCTGGCCATATTCCTGGGGGGAAGGTCAGTAAAAGCAGAAGAGGTAACGCCCACCTCTCTTGTTGTTTGCCCTCAGCATCCACCCCTCGCAGGTGCACCATCCTTGAGCACCTGTTGGGTACTCACCGGGAGAGGCTTCTTCCACTTAACTACCTATACCTGTAAGTAGGGATGGGTGAATACACCAAGCTCAGTTTTACTCAAATACGCTCAGGTGATACAAGTTCATTCCATCTCATATCTACCTTAGATCATGATTTGTTCATTAGTTTCTTTGCTTTTTGGACAGCCCTCTGAGTGGGATGGTGTAACTTGGTGCCCTGCAACAGCAGGGGGTTGGGCTTGATGGTCTTCATGGCCCCTTCCAATTCTACTATTCTATGATTCTATCCCATAGGAGATTCACACATACTTTTAGCTGCATTTTTCAAAAAGCATTTTCAATGCACGTTGCCACCCACATCGATGCATTTTCACACATACTTTTTCCAACGTATGTGTTTTTTCTAAGCAATTTTCCTTTTAAACCAAGCATGTTTGTGTACATTTCTGTAATATGTGCAATGCTTCAAACCTTCCCCCACCTCCCCTATTTTCAAACCGTTTGGCCAGCATCAGAAAAGAATGGATTTCAATGGCTAACTGCATTCCAGGTTGTGTTCAGGTTTGGGAAGTTTACATTGAAATGCAAATCAAATAAATTGCTCATAAAGGAGGCTTCTACTTGGAACTTGGGATAGACCCGCAAGCCTGAGACACTGGAACCTGCATGTGATGTCCAGACACAGATTCCTTCCCTGGGGATGAGGTAGCCATGCAGTGTAATTCCCAGTCTCTTTGATTCTACAGAACGCTGTATAAAGTAACAGTAATACAACTTGGCACAACAAAATTAGAAAGCAGACGTTCCAGTGAGGTTGCTGAATTTTTCTGACCCTTTCTTGTCATGATTTAGATGAGCAGCTCAAAAGCAAAGCAAAACAAAAACAGCCCATCAGCCTTTGTATTTGTTTGACTGTAGACACTTTATGCCCTTTCATTATTTTCCCATTGCGATTAGGTAGGTAGGTAGGTAGGTAGGTAGGGAAATCCCATGGACTGTAAAGACTTCTATATTTTCAAAAACGAAAGGCTGATGCGTTCCAAAAGACAGAAATCAAGTGAAGTAGAGAATTCTGCTGTTCCTAGATCCAGATATCCAGGAAGTAGAAATGTGCAAAGGAGGAAATGTGGCAGCAAAAGGTAGTGTAGGTGTGGCTTCCGTGCATGTCCTTTCACAGGTCGCAACTGTTCACCACAGCTCCTAATCTGCCAAGTGACGTTAATTGCAAACTAGACGTCAAGGCTTTTTTGGAATTGGACGAGATGGAGATTTTGGTGGGATTTGTGTTCTAGAAATCGTTTTGCACATGACATCGTCCTTGTCTCCAAGGTTGCTTGGCCTGCCTCAGGCTTACCTGGGAGCCAGAATTTCTTATGACCAAGTGTTTTGCTGTTGAAACAACTAAAGAAGCACTTTTTTCCTGGCCAGGGCGACTTATTTTATATGTTATTTTTGTGTTTTAACTTTATGTCTACACTTTACAAACATCTTAATTTAAGGTTATAATTTAATGTTTGTATTTTAACTTAATGTATTTGTATTTTAACTTATTGTTTTAAGCCGCCCTGAGGCTTTGGCGAATGGGGCGGCATAAAAATGTCTTAATAAAATAAAATAGTAAAAATAAAATAATAAGATAGGAAATACGCAAATATGACCATGTCACTGCTCTCTATATATCCAAATATCCATGTATCTCCAAATAAAATAAATATCCCAGCATGCAAACTTTCCAGTTACCTAGTATCATGGTAAAAAGTGCAGTGCTATACATCTAGAATTAAGCATATCTTACAGCCCTTCTTAGACCAGACATTCAGCACACAACTAGGGGAATCACAGACTCTCTGCTATCAAGGCACCACAAAACAAAAACCCTGCAGCCAGAAAGCTAGCACATCAGAACCAAAGCACTGTAAGCGACCATCCCTTTTATTATTATGGTGTACACATTTGCACATTAGTATAAATGTAGGGTCCCAATTTGGACTGGGGCCCTAGTGGGGCCTTCAATCCTTTTCCCTCCAAATCTGGATCATCCTCATCTCTGCAACACACACATGACTTACCTGCAATTCATGCTGCTAAATCTGTCTGCTTTTGAGCATAGAGACTGTTCCCCTGACATACTAGCTTTCTAAAGGCAACAGATATTTTTGGTATAAGGGAGCATTTAAATATATGATCTTACACCTATCAATGGAGGCAAGAAGAACTCTTCTGTTTCTAAAAATATAGCCTGGGTCTTTGTAACTTTGCCATACTGTCTCTGTTGCAAGCTAAAACGCATACACAGTTATATCAGCTTAAAAGCAGGGAGGGATAAATGAATGATGTCCAAACATCAGTTAACTCCTCATCTAATGCCTGTGAGCTGCTCATGTTAGGAGCTGCTGCTTGCTTTGCACCAGTGGAAAAATTGTACAATCCTCCCAAAGTTTCCCAGATTCCTCGGTTTGTGCAAAATGCCTCCACAGAATTAACCAGGACTGAGAGCACATCATTGACAATTTGTGACTATTTTCAGCAGGCACGTACTCATGTTTGGAAGCTAGAATAAGACATGTGTCCTTTTTTGGAACCCTCCTTAGAGGAGGGCACTAGTTTGCATCTCTTGAGAGCCAGCATAGTGTAGGGGTTAAGGTCTGTGACTCAGGAGATCCAGGTTCTAGTCCCCAATCAGCCCACCGGGTGACTTCACAGGGCTGTTGTTGTGGGGATAAGACTAAAAGGAGGAGGAGAATGATGTAAGCTGAAATGAGTTCCTTGGAAGAAGAAAGGGTGGGACAGAAATGTAATAAATAATATGCAAACAAGTGCTAAGCACAAATTAGAATTAGTACATTAGCTCCCATTTAACACTTTAAACACAGCCAAACTGAACTTGCAATCAAGCTAGGTAAATCACAACCAAACACATTTTCTCAGCTTTCACAATGGGTCAGGATCTCTGATCCTGGCCAGAGGGCAGCATGTGGGAACCTGGTACAAACAGCTCTTCTGGATGGATTCATCAGGGTAACGGGCAGCACAGTCCTATGGCCCCCTAGATAGTGGCTGGATTCAGATAATATGACAAGCCATGATGGTTTCTAACACTGTTGGTCTGTCATGTTGTCTGAGCCCAGCTATGGTTTTTCACCATGGTCTTTAGAGACAACAATAAGCAAAAATGGTTTGTTCTGTGGTTTCCCAGTCCACCATGGCTTCTTGTATTATCTGAACCCAGGATCACGGCTCTATAGTCCTGGTATGCAACTATCCGAGTCCCCTAGAAAGAGAGGCAGATGCAAGAGCTGCTCCAGCACTCTAGCCTGGGATTTAGTTGCAGGTGCAGTGACTGATGGGATGTGTGCCAACAGCATATACCCCAGTGATGAGCAAGGAGGGTAGAGACCATGCTACCATAGAAACAATTTGATGGTCCAGATCCAGGCAAACAACATGTGCTGTGGAAACCATTCAGGGCTGCTTGCCATGATGAGTGAACCCAGCCAAGGTCGCGAAAGTCGTAAGCTTGTTCAGAT